ATTTAGTTAGAAAAATTATATTGCCATAGATGGTAAATATTTATTTAATATTGCATATCTATGTGATTTACCCTTTAATCTTATATATATAAGAGATGGATATGGCCCGGGCTTACATTTAACATTTTCAAGTGATATATACTTCATTACTTTGCATAGTAATTCGGTGATGATGAAAATAAGAACAGAACAACAATATAAAAAAAGTAGTACATGGGATAGTAAATGTGCATGTGAAATGGTTGATGTAGGTAAATGACATAATAAGAGAATAGTGTAAAAGTTAACAGATCACTGCTTTATAGCCACATATATCTTTTACAAATATCAGATCTAATAGACTTAAAACACATGAACTTCAAAATGCAATAATACAACTAATTTCTTCCATTCCACAAATAACTTTACTGCAGACAGGTATCTTCTAAATACTCTTCAGTTATTAATACCAGTCATGCCATGCTCCTAGTCCATACATACGAACACATGTTAGCCAGAAAACATTGTGGCTACTTTCCCTGAATATTTTGATTTCAAACAATAGGATATCAAATCTAGAAAAGTAGCAACAGTAATGGATGAAGTAACCTTGAGCCACATATTAATGTCAAAAACAGTATATGACATACCGCAGCTTTTTAACTTCTGCAATAAAATATCCACTCACATTGTTGAGATTATGTTTCCACACTCATTGAAGATGATCCAGTATCTCATTTTCTTGGCTAGAAAAAAAATCAAGCTATCATCCAAATGCCAAATAGCTTCATAACATGTTTGGTAATATGTCATCTACTGAAAATACTTATTTTACCCAAGCGTTTGCGATCATCAAGAAGACCAACTGAATGATAAAAACAATAAGCACATACTGACATGTGATGGCATGAAATAGAGCAAAATTGAAAATGATGTTTTGAATAAACCTCAGTTGGCAACCTTGCGTAATGGAAATACCAAGCTTTTTGCACGGCAATACCATGGTAATAAAATCGTAATCTAAAAAGAAATATTTTTGGCC